TTTTTTTTTTTTTTTTTGTTTTATTTGAATGGAGGGTAAAATGGTCAAAATATGGTGAAAATGACGTTCAGCGCATGAAAAGTGATAGGTAAGGGTATAAATGCCAAGAAATGAAAGGTATGGACGATTTTCAAAATCAACCCTAAAGGTAGGGACATTTTCTGCTAATTAGCCTTAAAACAATTTAAGCTATCCAATGTTCGATCTGTGTATGTGTGTGCATAGTCATTTTCATTCATCATCTAAATTAGGAAAAAAGTTGTCAAGACTGAAAAATGTTGAGAAATATTTTAATTTAATTAATACAAAATGTTTAGGGCAAATCTCCTTTTCCTCTTCTCATTCTAGTCATAAATATTTTATTTCGTTCATTGATGATTATAGTCGCACATATGGATTTATTTTATACATTATAAATTTGATGTTTTTGATGTAATCTAGAGTTTTCTTGCATACATTAAAAATCAATTTTCCACTTCCATTAAAATCTTAAGATCTGACTCCGATGGTGAATATATGAGTCATAAATTTCAATATTTTTTCTAGGGGGAATAATACATCAAAAATCTTCTCTTGATACCACTCAACAAAATGGTACAGCCGAACGAAAAATTCGTCATCTCTTAGATGGTATACCACTCAACTTTGCTGACAGTGAATATTGAATTTAAATATTTTCGTTTGTATAAGAAGCGTTGGGACTATTCTCATTTACAAGTTTTGGTTGTCTCTGCTATGCTCACTTACAATCATCAGATTGAAATTAGTTTAACTGGACAATCTGTCGGATGTGCATTTCTTGGTTATGCTTCTAATCTCAAAGGATTACTTTGTTATGATTCTATTGTAAGTTGAAAATATATGTAGTTTTCAACGAACATCTATTTCCACTTCTCCCTCTTCATATCCTTATCTTCCTACCTTGATGATAATGTTTCTAATGTAACAAGGTTTGAATCTGGGATAGCTTGTCCACAAAGAGAGACAACTAACAGTTAAGAAATTGAAGGTTCCTCTCCAAAAACTTTTCCTTCCCCTGATCCAAGTGCTCATTTACTTGAGACACCTAATGTGACAGCTTCACTTCCTTTATGGAGATCTACTAGGCCTAGTAAACCACCTGATTAGGTATCTCTCATGACCACTTTGCTGTCCATAAATTTTTGCATTGTCAGAATGCTATGAACAAAGTATTGGAGGCTTTAACAAATAATCATACTTGGAAAATTGTCTCTTGTCCAACTGGGTGTAAGACAATCAGTTGTAGGTGGGTTTACTCGATTAAACAGAAGCCTGATGGCACATTAGATCGTTAAAAAGCATGGTTGTTGCTCTTGGAAATTTGCTAGATATGGGGTCAATTATCATGAAGCATCCAGTGGAGAAAATGACTACCGTTCGTTCTTCGTTGGCCATTGCATATCTCAAGAAAGGCCTCTTTTCCAAATGGAGGTAAAAAATGCTTTCTTGCATGGAGATCTTCATGAAGAGGTCCATATGAAGCTTCCATCAGGAGGACACTCTCATTCTGAAAATTTTGTATGTCGTCTTCTCTGCTCTCTTTATGGACTAAAACAAGTGCCTCGAGCATAGTTAATGGTTTGAAGAATAAGTCAACTTTTAAAGCAATTGGATTTTATGTTAGCCTGTAATTAAGTTCTTTTACTTATGGCTTCCAAATATTTTGATCCGAAGTTTCATAAAATTTTTCATGCAATGTTTCCAAATTTCAATTAACAAACAAAAAGCTAGGAATTTTTTTTTTTTTTATTTTGAGTTTCTAGAATGTTTTGAAACGTTTCTGAAACAGAAACACTAGCAATCTAGATATACTTACAAACTAATAAATATGACAGCAATTAATGTGAAGCATCATCTTTAGTGGAATATTAATCTTGCTGATTAATCCTCGGAGTATCATTAATGGAATATTAATCATGATGATTCATCCTTGGAGTATCATTAATGGAATTTCAATCCTGCTGATTCATCCTCGGAGTCAAAACCAAGACAACATTGAGAACCTGTTAAATGCCAGTAATTGTATTAATAGGCTCTTGTTCAAATCTCTTGCATAATTCTCTTGTTTTTTTAGTCAATAGACTCTTTAAATGAAGACAGAATCTTTGCTTCTTCCATTTTTTCTCCTTTCAATCTTAGCAAATTCTCTGTTTTGCGAGGCAGCAGAGGCACCAGAAGCACCAGATTCAGATTCAGTGCTTGACACTTCTGGAAAACAGCTCCGCACAAGATTTACCTACTACATTTTGCCAGTCAGCCACGGGAGTGGAGGTGGACTTGAACTAACCAACACCAACAACACGACATGTCCACTCGACGTTGTCCAATCCAGTGATGATACCCCCGGCATTCCTGCATCATTTTTCCCGTTTAATTTGAATAAAGATGTTGTTCGAGTCTTTACTGATTTGAACATCATGTTCCCAAACAGGTACACATCCTGTCCAGAATCACCTGTTTGGAAACTCGATCACTACTCTCCTACTGATCCATTGGACAGGGAATACTTCATCACGACTGGCGGAGTTGTAGGAAATCCCGCACCTGAGACGCTGAGGAACTGGTTCAAGATTCAAAAATTTGGAGATGGCTACAAGCTCGTGCATTGTCCAAGTGTGTGCAGTTTTTGTGATATTGTCTGTAAAGATGTCGGAATTATTGTTCAAAATGGAAAGAGACGCTTGGCTCTAACCGACGTTCCATTGAATGTTGTGTTTAAGAGGGCATAAAAGTGTCTCCGTTCAATTACATGCATATGCATGCTTGTCTTGTTCAGTAAATTTGTCTAAATAAGCCTCTTCATAAGGATACTCTTCTACTCCAGTTTTATATCCAGACATCATGGTTCTATGGGATCCACAAATGGCATTAAATTATGCTCTTTCACAAGGTTTTAGTGTTCTCAATATAGTATCGTGGCCTTCTTCTACTGCCGCATGAACTTACAGTATTGAGCAGAGAATTAATCAGATTAGATAAATTAGGTGTAGCGTCTTTTCAGATATGATAGTTATTGAGCTTTTTTTTTCAAGTGTACGTAATTTCATGTAGATCGTTGGTTAGATAGCATATAGACTCTTTGATTTCTTTGTGGTAAATTTTTTGTGGGTAAATGGCACTTGAGCATACTCGTGTATTATTCCCCTCCTATGCGAGAGACTTTTGGGATCTCTACCCATGGTATTTACACACAAGAAATAAAATAAAATAAAAATGAAGAAGCAAAATTGGGATTCCTAAGACTTCAAAATCATCCCGTTTCCTCAAATTTACTTTTACTTACTTTTAATTGCTTTTGTTATTACACTTGGTGTAGATTCTTAATAAAAAAAAAATCCATCAATTTGTATGTGTTTGCCTTTTGAATTGAGCAAACTTTTATTTCATTTAATTACAAATAACAAATAAATCAATCCTCTTGGGATTTGATACTCTATTCAGTCCTGTTTGAACCACATTATTTTTTCATTCTCATTCTTCTACTCATTTTTAATCACACATTTGTCAATAAAATAATATTTTCCATCACATCAATAATTTTTCCTTCTTTTTCAACCACATATCCCCCATTACATAAAAAAAAAAAGCATTCCTGGAGAAAAAATGTGCACCAAAGAGGGGCTCAATTTATTACTTTCTTCGACACCGTATACTTGCGTGAAAGTCAAATAGGTAGCAATATTTGCCCCACACAATCAGCTTTTGATCAAGTTAAATGGCACAATTATATGAAGAACTCTATTAAAAAAAAGGATAATGTTAGAAGTACATCACCATCTACATAATGGTGTACATAATGCTAATGTAGCAATCATCCGACCTTTAATTCAAATTTGACACTGACACATCAATGACTGGATGATTGACACATTAACATTATGTACACCATTATGTAGATGATGATGTACTTCTAGCATTATCCTTGTAACAAATGGTAAATTGAGGTCATAATTGTTGCACTTACAAAAGATTGGAACCCCTAGTGGGATTTCTCTTTTCAAGGGGAAGGTATTAGGGTACAAACGTCATTTTAATTATTATAAACCCTAAATTGAACTTGTCCGTCTATATAATGCAGCAAATGTTTCATCCTTCCATCCTCAACAGGTACGGTTTTTTTTT